GTGGCAGGCCGGTTGCTGTGTACACCTCCCCGTGATCAAAGAAGCCAAAATTTGACTGATGGCACCAGTCCCTGAGCCGCCTGTTAACCAGGTGAGTTTTCCTGCCCCTTTCAGTGCTGTTCCCTGCCACTGATGGGATGGAGGAAAACACCACCTGCACCCCTGATCCCTCAACCAGTCGCCCCAGTGCCCTGAAATCCCTTTTGATGGCCTTGGGACTTCTCTCTGCAATCTCATCCCCGCCAACCTGCATTACCAAGAGGGGGTAATCTTCTAGGATAACCTGCTGGAAAGCAGTTCTGTGGAGAGGGACCTGGGAGTCCTGGCAAATGAGAAGTTGACCGTGAGCCAGCAGTGTGCCCTGGCTGCAAAGAAGGCCAATGGTATCTTGGGACGCATTAAGAAGAGTGTGACTAGCAGGTCGAGGGAGGTTCTCCTTCCCCTCTACACTGCCCTAGTGAGGCCCCATCTGGTGTACTGTGTCCAGTTCTGGGCTCCCCAGTTCAAGAAAGATGAGGAACTACTGGAGAAATTCCAGTGGAGGGCTACGAGGATGGTGAGGGGACTGGAACATCTCTCCTACGATGAAAGACTGAGGGAGCTGGACTTATGTAGCCTGAAGGAAAGAAGACTGAGAGGGGATCTTGTAAATGCTTATAAATATCTTAAGGGTGGTTGTCAGGAAGATGGGGCCAGACACTTCAGTGGTGCCCAGTGACAGGACAAGGGGCAACAGGCACAAACTGAAGCATAGGAAGTTCCGTCTGAATATGAGGAAGAACTTCTTCCCTCTGAGGGTGACGGAGCACTGGAACAGGTTGCCCAGAGAGGTTGTCGAGTCTCCTTCTCCAGAGATATTCAAAATCCGCCCGGATGTGGTCCTGTGCAACCTGCTCTGGGTGAACCTGCTTCGGCAAGGGGGTTGGACTACATAATCCACAGAGGTCCCTTCCAACCCCTACCATGCTGTGATTCTGTGATTCATAAAGCAAATAAGCATTCTATGAGGAGACATGCTTATGGTCTACAGGATAAGGAATATGAGGGTTTTAGGACCGCAGAAAAGATCTGGAAGCTTGCAGCTCCCTGAGATACTGTCAGACTGCTGGATGAGTCAGTAAGAGACAGCTACCACAGAAAGAGAACAACAGTCACTGACTTGACTGAAACCAATCCTGTAATCAAGAAGTACAATAAGAAGGACAGAAGATTTATTTGTAAAAAATTTTTTTTTCAATCATTGCTTTAATATCTTAGGTAACTACTCCGAGACATGCTTACTTTAAAAGTTAGTTCTTCTCATTTAAATTTCAATAAAATCTAACTCCTGAAATTTTAAAGATTTTAGTCTTTAGGGAGCAACCACAGGTAACAAATTTGGGTATATCCACAACACAAAGAAGCTATTACGTTCTTTAGGTTCCACCACCTCAACTAGACTGACCAAGAAATTTTAAGTGAATATATCATCTTTATGCTCTTTGTGCCATGACTTGTGTCATCTTGACCAGAATGACAGTATATGAGGCTGTAAGAAGGCATGCAGATGCGTACTTGTGAGTTAACTCCCTACGTTGCCATTATACTAAAGGACACTACTGAGTTTTCTTTCAGTAGCTTTAAGATAGGCATTTAATGTCACTTGAGGTACTCCAAAGTCTTGAGATGTCCAGGTGTAAAACAACACTTAAGGGAGATCTGCACCCTTCTGAGCTAGTGGTTGAAGAGTAGCCTGAACGCTTACGAGCTGACAAGTGAATCTGCCAATGAATGCCACTTAGTGTGAACACTGTCTTTGATTTCCCAATTTTTATTGTAAAATTATTGTTGTTTTTCTCTTGTATTAGAAAAGAATGTTCAAAAATATGTATGAACAATGAGCTCTGCAAGAGGCAGTGTTTCAGAATAGTGAAAAGCATAAATACAGTGGAAACCTAGTTCATTAAAGAAGATTTGACATATTAAACGACAGTGGTTTTGAAATTCAGGCTGCAGAATGCACAGACCGCAGAATCATAGAGGCACAGAAATGTTGGCGAGAGTATGTCTGGAGGTCTGTTATTCAGTCTCCCCCTTAGAGGAAGATTGAACATCGACATTTGATTAGGTCAGCCGTGAGCTGTTTAGGTATGTCTTGGAAACTCCATGGATGGATGTCCGAAAATATCCGTTGCAATTTTTTCCACTGCCATACTACCCTGCTACTGAAGCAGTCTTTCCTAATATCCAGGCTACGACTCCCAAGCCACAACCCTTGCCCATTGTCCACTATTATATTGTCTACCATTACCAAGAAGAGTTTGATTCCATCATCTTTGTAACACTTCAAAAAGTTGATGACTACTGCTAGATCTCGCTTAATATTTTCTTTGT